ATGTAGAATATTAACAAATATAATTGATTTATGTACTAGTAACATTTAAAAATCCAGGTAACAAATGAAAGTTTAATTATTATGTTTATAGACAACCCAACATCTCCAAATATTGTCACCTGCCATGTGCATATATGTGGTAGGCATTTGTTAAGTCAAAGGTATAAGAGTAGCAGTTATGCTTGATTATATAGAACAATTACATAGTATGAAGATTGAAATTAGACATACTTAATATAAAATGTGTAGATTATTTCCTTTCCAAGACTAAATTGTATAAAAAAACCTATTGATCTGGATTGAATGTCAATTTGTTAAGGTTGGAGTGAGCCAACTTTTATCCAGTAATATTTGAATAGAAAACTCACAAGACCCATGGCTTGTTCATCCGAGGTGCTAGGAGGAAAAAAAGTCAATAAATTACTTTTTCACTAGAGGAGAAATTTCTGTTTTATATGCCAACAAAGAGTTGAAATGCCAGAAGCAGTTGAGGACTAAATTACAAAACACTTATTTTATCACACCAGAAAGTTAATGCCAGTGCTTGATTACAACAAGCAATCCAATTGCATGAATTTGGACTGCAAGGCACCAAGGATTTTATATTCATTAGAAAAGTTATTGATTCAGGAAAGCTACCACTAATAAAACTACACTATTTTCTCAGGCCTGTTATGGAGGCACAGACAGAGTATTTGATCAATGATATTGAGCAAAAGGAAAAGCACTCATTGCCTCTAATCTCCTTTTCCCCTTTTCTAACTTGTACATGGATACTAACAGTGGAATAATGAATAAATATAGGCCCTATGCAGGTCAACATGGTCTTCTTTGTGCACATACATGCATCGCTAACTTCACATACTTATTTATATTTTTATAATATAAATAATATTTATTTATTATTTAATTATGTTGCGAAAAATATAATTAAATAGAATCTGAAGTAAAAAATCTAAATAAAATAACAGCATCATGCTAATAAGAATGATTTCAAATTTAAGCAAATGCATAATTCTCTGCTGTAATTTTACTCTAGCAAAGTCTTCTAAGAATTATATAATGGTAATGAGCTGTTTCTATGCAAGATCAGTACTTCATTTGCTGAGGACAGAGTTCCATAAAACTTCTATAAAGCAATTTTTTATTAAATTTATCGAAGAATATTGTTTCACATTTGATAGACTGAAGGAGATTTTCCTAAATACAATTAATGAAGAACAAAAGAGTAATCTCTTTATATTAATTTTTAAAGCAACACTTTAGCTAGTCTATGATTTATACTTCCATATAAATTTTGGCAGTACCAAGATTTCCACAAAGATTGAACTGCAATTTTGTTGACATTGCTTTAACAATGTAGATTAATTTGGGGATAATTAACATTCAAAATATATAGAGTTTTCAACCTATGAATACACTGTCATTTATCTGGAAGTTAAATTACTATTAGCACTTTTTTGTAAGTTTAGTGTGAAAATTTCACGTTTTTCATTAAAATATTGCATTGCTTATATATTCAATAGTCATATTTTCTAATTTTATAATTATTTGTTGCTAATATAAAAAAACAAAAAGTATACTACTTGTCGGTCAGTTTGCCAACTTGTGGTGGCTTGCATGTTATTGTTATGATGGAAGCTATGCCACCAGTATCACAAATACCATCACCATCACCTAGGATTAATAGCATTTCAAGGAATGAGGTAGAGTTTATTGTGCCAACCTGGCTGAAAAACACATGTGGGGTTACTTGAAGGGCGGAGGGATAAATGGCTCAGTGAGCCTTGCCTTTTGAGTTCTCGGGTCTCTTGCTTTGAGATGGTAGGACCAGGGTACAGCTGCCTTAGCCACTTTCCTGCTTCAGCTGGAAGGCCCACTTCCTGCAAGACATCCCTGAGGAGAAGCCACATGTACCTACCCTGATGCAGCCCTGGGTGCTGGAGCAGCCATGTGGAGACCCCGGCCAGCGCTGAGATGCTTACAAGTTCACTGATTTTGCTTTCCTCCTGCAGTCAGCATTATAGTATGTGTTTTGTGAGATGGAGGAGGACTTTGTTGATTGGTGTCAGACATATGGGTTAATGTTGGACTTGTGGGCTTGGGCAGCACTGGGTTGGGATGTTTTCTTGATGCACACCTAATCTTTATATAAAACTCTCTCTTATACATGAGTTTCTGTGGATTTGTTTCTCTAAAGTACCCAGACTAACACATTATGGTGGTTTGGGCGTGGGGTACTGGAGAAACAAATCATAAGATGGAGAGTAGATGTTTGTTTGACCTCTCCCTCATGGTCATTTTTCTTTGTCTAGCTAGAGGTCAGATAAAGCCACACTTTACCCGGTTGTTTTCTGGGAAAAATATGGCAAGTAAAAATATAGAAAGTTTCGAATCCCACTTGCTTTCAGCCATTACACTTTGATCTTTAGGTGGGTTTAGGCTGTGCCTATAACGAAAGCTTTGAAAAGATATGCCTCACCCAGGGCTTTGGAATACTCAGAATCTAGTAGTCTTTGTCAGAAGCTGGAAAAAATCTGGAACCATGAAGAAAACTCATCTCTGGGACTGAATGTTAAAGGGAACCTGAGAGCAGGCTGAAATGCTTGCTAGGTGACCACCTGGATCTACTCTGCTGAGTGGAAGAGGGGGAAATGTAGCAATAAAGAGATGGGTTGAGTTTGGCCACTGACTCCTGTGGACTTGGTTTACAGGAAAAAAGGGAGAAGAGGAGAGTGGGTTGCCTGGTCTAAGGTTCATGACCTAGCCTGAGGGGGCTAGGCTTGTTGAGTATTGGTGAGGGCCCTTGGTCTAAAGGCAAGGTGACCAATGGGCACCCTGTGCAGGCTGAGTGAGGCAGCCCATATTGAGTTGACCAGAATCTGACCAGATGGAGATTTTTGAGCCTGTGAATTGGTGCATATTGTTGCTGACTTTATGGATGTCCTGTCCAGATTTGACTTTGCTTATGGATGCAGACTTCACAACTTGAATGAAGACTCTTCATGTCAAAAAATATGATTTTCTTCTCAGAAAACTGGGTTGATGTAAATGGGCAGTATATAAATTGAATACTCAAAATTGGGGGAATAAAGGCATGAAGTGGTTGGCTTACAGACTTTTGTAGGTGGGGGAACATATTCACAGGATTATAGGATTAAGGTGTAGGTGTTACCTAATTTCAATTGCCAAGCTAAAGAATTATGTATAGGAGCCAGGTTGGCAAGGGATGGATCGAGGTAGTTAATTTATTGTGCCAACTTGGCTGATAAACATATGTGGGGTTAATTGAAGGGCGGAGGGGTAAATGGCTCAGTGAGCCTTGCCTTTCTAGTTCTCGGGTCTCTTGCTTTGTGATTGTGGGACCAGTGTGCAGCTGCCTTAGCCAGTTTTCTGCTTCAGCTGGAAGGCCCACTTCCTGCAAGACATCCCTGAGGAGAAAACGCATGGAACTACCCTGATGCAGCCCTGGGTGCTGGAGCAGCTGCATGGAGACCCCTGCCAGTGCTGGATGCTTACACACTCACTGATTCGGCTTTCCTCCTGTAGTTGGTATCATTGCCTCTGTTTTGTGAGATGGAGGAGGACTTTGTGGCTTGATGTAGAACATATGGGTTAATGGTGGACTTGTGGGGTTTGGGCAGCACTCGGTTGGGATGTTTTCTTGATGTACACTTAACCTTTATATAAAACTCTCTCTTACATATGAGTTTCTGTGGATTTGTTTCTCCAAAGTACCCAGACTAACACAAGGAATTTCCAGACTAAGAACAGTGTAGGAAAGAGAAATAAGCTATCCAATTGTGAACAATCAGTTATTGAAAATCTATGAATAGCAGGAGAAAACTTATCTAATGTACCATCAGATGATGATCCTCTCAGGTTGAAAGAGAATCAAAATACGAAAGGAGAGGAGCTTCCTCCTCAAAGTAGAGTTGACCTTAATGGTGTGGATATAACACATCTTTAGCATCCTTCATTTGTTGATACAGCTTGACTAAAATTGATATGAAAAAGCTGCAATGATACATTAATAATTAGAATGTGGAAGGTACCAAGTGTGAATCTAGGAAAATTTGAAATTGTCAAGAATTAAAATTCGTAAAGATCAAAATCCTGGATTTTTTTTCCTTTAAACTCAGAACTGTTTTTATTTTCTAAAACGTAAGGTTATTTATGACCAAGTAGTGATTTTAGGGTTTTTGTGCCACCCAACGCCTTTTCCAAGTGTCAGTTAACATCCATAATAGGCTCTGGGAAACAGAACGTGATTTGGACGTTGTGAAACCATAATGTATTGTGGTTGTTTTAGCTTTACGCATCTCAGATGACTTTCATGCCTTGGTCAAAGTTTTGAAGAGGATTTGTTTGCACTTTTGTGTGTGCGTCCTTCATCAACATAACTAGCAATTTCTCCATGTCTGATAGTGGAGTTAATCCTTCAACAGCATGGAAAATTTGCTGTTTTTAAGGATGATTGAGGGCTGGTACCAACATTCCTAAATTGCTGGTAATAGCATTCACTTGATTTTCTGCCTTCATGTTGTTTATCTATTTTGCTTTCATCACTAGACCTGGTTTGGCTGTTTGGCAGCCATGATGCCTATGTTTGAAAGACTCAACAGATAATGAATGCGGTAACATTCAAGAGACGCATGATTTATAAGATCACATACTGCTGCCTAAAAATCAAAGCATGCGGTTTTATGGTAACTTTTTAGGCAGTTACCTAAGCCAGTAACACAGGCCCTTACTACGACTATTGAAGGCGGTTGTGCTTGTTATGTCTGATAATATTTTCTACCTCCTGCTCCCTGGCTGGATTTCCGAGTTCTATTTTAATCTGCTGCACCATGAACACATATGTGGTTGGACACTACTCCAGAAGACATGCAGAATGACTACATAGTGGTGAGTAAAGGGCTCATCTAAAATTAGCCCAAAGTTATTTCACTGCTTATCAACAGTGACACACACATACAGAGATTCTACTAATGCACGAATCTGGAGAACTATTTATTCAATACATTTCATTTTTCTCTAACTTAGGATTTTTCCATCTGACATGATTTTTTCCTGGAGCTAAATTAGGAACTTGTAGTTTTCTCATAATAAACACTAGAGTGTTCTCATAAACTGCATTCTCTGATTTTCTTGTCAGCCTGCTTCAGGGAAATCCACGTATTTAAGATGCTTCCTCGCAGTTTGGCCCATACCAAATGATTGTTCAAGCCAAAGATCTGAGCAGCAAACTGAGCTGATGCTTCTGGAGAAAGTATAGTCGAACAGCCGAGACCACTGGGTAGCCGAAGAGAAGACCACACCTCCTGAGCCCCCCAGTCTGGTGTGAGGGGAGGACAGCTGATCACTGGATATGCAGTGTTACCAGACAGCACTGGTCCCAAACCACTGCTCCTGCCCGCTACCGCCACAAAGACAGTAGGAATGCCATCCCCTTCATACTCACCTTTAATCCTCAGTCTCATCTGGGCCCTTATGGGCAGATGTTACTTGAAGTTCACATGGGATGCCAAAATTTCCACAAGCCTCCTTGATTTTTTCGCAGTGACAGAGATCAGAGGTCGAGCCCATCAATACCACAACCCTGCACTGACTTTGCGATTTCAGAAGCAGCTCTACTCTTTCTGCAACCCACTCAAAATTTTTCTTGACCATCTTCAGCCCTTCAGGAGTTACTTCTTTGAGGTCACAAGAGGACTGTTTGTCCTTCTGTTGGCTTCGATCTCCAGATGGCCAGAGTCTCCAGGAATCGTTATCAATAACATCAGCAAGAATCATTTCTTGGTGGTTATATCAACACCAAATTCAATTTTCATGCCAACCAGTGTACAGGCCTGGGGCAACCACGACTTTTCCAGGATTTCAAAAATGGCCTGGGTGGCATGACTCATGATATCCACTTCAGTTTGACCTATCTCAAGTCCAGCAAAGCAAAATTTGGCAGCAATTAGCTGCTCCCCAGACCACTGTGCGTCATTATTGGCATCATCCTTGAAAAACATCTCCATTTTGGGTGGGTAAAATTTATAACCTTCCTTGAAGCTAGGGTTTCTTTTGAGAAAAGAACCAGTTGCTATTCTTCTACATACCCACTCAAGGGGAATCATTTCACACTGGGGGGCAATGAAAGCCATTTCCCCCCATGTCTTGGTAAAAGCAGTTTTGATACCTGCATCCTGTAACAACTGAAAAATACAACTGGTGATTTTATTGAAAATAGCAGCTTTGCCCTCCAGGTGGTTCTTCCTAGCTGCGTTTCCTGCCGTAATCTGGTCCTCGGATTGCAGGAGCACTTTCCCTGGGTGATGGACCAGCTCATATATTTCTTTTGTTTTCCCCTCATAGAGCTTTGGACCAAGGAGCACCACCTCGGAAGCCGCCATTATCTTGAGTAGGCTGGGGCTGCGACCGCGTGAAGTGGAGAAGCTGGATTCTGTGAGGGAAAAAAAACAGGTTGGGGAGCTTCCCCGGAACTGGGGAGGGAGGGCCAAAATCCTGGATTTTAGTGAGGTGTAAAGGAATGGTATTTTTGATGTTGTGTCAGGTAATCGTATGGTTTACTATCATATTGAAATATTTCATAGTATCATTTTGAAGCTCTATATTGAAGTATAATATTGTCTGTGATAGGATAATATCTATAGGCAAAGGAGGAAGTCTAGTTAATACAAACAATATTTATATTTACACACAAATAGTAAAAGCTCTAGATGAAGAAATAGAAGATTTCTGTCAATTTTTTCAGCCTGAAATTTATCAAACATGCAATCAAGGTACATTGATAATTACTGTTAATTGGAATGCAAAAATTAGAAAAAAAGAGAAAGGATTGCTAATTTGTAATCATGGCATTAGTGATAGAAAAAAAGATGGAGATCACAAGACTTCTTCATTGTAAATACTCCTTTTTAATAAAAACCAACATAAAGGGTGACAACACCTGTGGACTTTGCCAAATGGAATACACAGGAATCAAATTGACTATATTTGTGAACAGAGAGAGTGGAGAAGTTCACAATCATCAGTCCAAACAAGATCAACTATGGAGAAGACCATCAATTGTTCATATTCCAGTTCAGGTTACAGTTTAAGAAAGATTAAATCAATCCATAAGAACCAAGATATAATCTTAAATATATTTCATCTAAATTTGGAGAAGATCTCAAGCACATATTTGTCTCATTCGAAACCAATGACATGAGGCTGGATGAGCTGTGGGATGACATGGGGAATGTTACACATGCACATAGCAAACGGTTATTCAAAAGGCAGTGAAGAGAGAAACGACAATAGAAACTCTGAGTCTTCTTAGAAGAGATTGTGAAGCTTGTTCTGAAACATGGAGTAGCTAAAGCAAATAGAAAAAAAAGAAGTGAACAGAAAATTTCAAAGGACAACTCAGGACGACAAAGTAGAATACTGTCTTGAAATGTGCAAAGACCTGAAGTTTCAAAGCCAAAAATAAATAATAGCATCTATCATTCTAAAATGACTTAAAAAAATTCAAGCTTCAAGTTGAAATATTGAAGGATAATGTGGGAAGAGAATATGAAGTCACTGTACCAAAAATAATTGGCCAATAGTTAGCAATTTCAAGAGGTAGCATATGATAAACAAACAAAGAAAACAATAGTATTGAAGAAAGAAGTCCAAGCTGCACAAGCATTGGTGTCAATCAAACTTCCAGGAACTGATGCAAAACCAATTGCAAGAAAAGTAAGAATTCAGCTGTCTGGTCAACCGACTGGAATAGATCCATATTTGTACTCATTCCAACGAAAGATAATCTAACAGACTGCAGAAATTATCAAACAATATCTTTAATATCACATATGTGTTAAACTGGGTTCCCCAGAGAAGCAAAACCAGTAACAATTACATATATAGAGAGAGAAATTGATATAAAGAAAATGTAAATTACTTGCCAGTAAAACTGTTGGGAAAAACTGGTTCCCAGGATTAGCAGACAATATGGTTTGCTGTTGGTTCAAGTTCAAAGAACTGACATCAATGAGCCAGATGCAGAATACAGATTCAACAAGAAATGAATGAGCTAGGAAGTAGGCCACACTTCCAAGGAAACTCTCTTCCTACTGCATCAGGGCTGTGACTTGAGTAAGGGTGTTGTCCACACTAATCTCTCCATATCTGCTCACAGCGATGCCATCATCGATTGGGTTATATTGTTAGGTCACATCAGGGGATTGCTACCAAATAATTGGGAACCCAGCCTCTGTTCCAACATCACTGGCACAAAATACAAGTAAAATCTTGCTGAAGATACCGTAGGAGTACACACAACAGAAGCTGCAAGACATCCAAGCTGGATTCAGACATGCCTTAGCCTCAAAGTGACATCCTTGCTCCTCAACACTTTAAAGATGTTGTGCATCAGATATGCCCAATGCAATGCGTCATTTGATTTCTAGACTGTGGCTTCCGTAAGCATTGAGTGCAGACCGCCAGTGAGCAGTCTGGTGCTGTGCCAAGAGGCCTTGTTCCTCTAAGCTCCATAACCCCTCCATTGGCCATGGAATGGATCCTCCTCTCTGTCCTGTGTTGTGCACTGCAGCCGGCCCCACCCTGACGGCGGACGATGGGTGTGACCCTCCCATGGAACCCCACCCCACCCTGTTTCACTGGCCCTCTTCCTGCTGCTGCTACCAGCCCACTGCCTCAGACTCTGGTCCTTCTGGTGTCACCTTCGACAACGTCACAGGGTCAAGTCTGTGTCCCCTCTCACCATCCTAGTGATGCCACTTGTCTTATGATTTTTCTGCCATCTTATGCCAACCCTCTCAGCTGTCTGTCCCCTGGTTTTTGCTGTTTCCTTTCATTGCCTGCCACTGTTTTCCAATGGCATGATTATATACAAGGATAGTCCATTGTTTTACTCATTAGTAAATCAGAGAGACACATTATGTGAACTCATTGTTTCTTTATAGATGAAGGGCTTAAAACTATCTTTTAATTCCATGTCTTCTAGGAATGTTTGAAAGTCCCCTCGTATTTTCCTCGTATACCCAAACCAAACCCATTTCCTTCAAGTTATTTCTGACTCGTGTGACCTTGTAAAACAGAATTGCCACATTAGGCTTTCCTGCGTGTAATAGTCATGAAACCAGAATGCAACATCTTTCTCCTATGAAGTGGCTGCAGATTCAAACGCTGATCTTTCAGATGGTCTCCATGCACTTATGCCACCAGGGATGCTTACTACACAGTTGCACATGGAGGCTTTTCTCCTGGGGGTGTTTTAATAGAACAGTTTCCATAACAGAACTGTATGGGATTGAAGAAAATTTTGCCTCTGGGAAACTGAATTATCATCATACTCGCCTTTTAGAATGAGATTTGATATGGTTTCTTATATTTTATTAATGTCAAGAAAAAGATTATATTAAATCCAACATGTGTTCTTTAAATGTGGCCTTAGAAGCTTGTTTAAGACAGAATTATAATGCATTAAACTGTAAACTCATGAAAATTTGACAATTACATTCCATGTAATTTTTGCCTCATTTACCATCTCAGTTTTTGTTTCGCAAATGCAAGCCAGAGGCTTAAAAAGCATTCTTAATTCCATTCTCTCTTTCACTGCCAAAGACTAATCGTTAGCCAAAGACTAACCTGAGGCCATTCTTTATTCCTCCTAAATATTTCTGGATGACCCTACAAAGGAGTACTCAAATAATTATTAACTATAAGAGGAGCAGGTGCCCTGGTGGCGTACTTGTGATGTTTGGCTGCTAACCCAAAGCGTGGCAGTTTGAATCCAGCAGACGCTTCATTGGAGAAAGATGTGGCAGTGCCATTCTATCCAGAATTACAACCTTGGAATGAGACAGTTCTCTATCATAGAGATTCACCAAGAGTCAACTTCCACTCGAAGGTAGTGGGCTTGACTTTTGGCTTGGTAAATTGAGGAATTTGTATCTAGCTATAATTTAGCAAGAAGTCTCTAGGTCATGTAAATGGTATCTGAATGCTTGGTGTTTCAAGTCTACCCAGAATTGCCTTGTATGAATGGCCTGGCAATCTACTTCCAAAAAGAATCAGACATTAAAAACCTCGTGGAGTATATAGCTCTAATATGACACACAGGGGGTTGCTATGGGTTGGAATTCACTAGACAGTGACACTGTCCGAGAGTATGCCATCAAAATGGCTGTTAATAAATTGTTTGTGCTGTTTCTGCATAAATTTATTATTATTTTATAAAAAAAAAACATCCTTGAAGCCCGGTGGCCTAGTGGATTACACCTTGGGCTACTAAACGCGAGGTCGGCAGTTTGAAACCACAAGCTGCTTTTCGGGAGAAAGATGAGGCTTTCTACTCTTGTAAAGATGTAGTCTCAGTAACCCCACAGGGGCAGCTCTACCTGGTCTTATAGGGTTGCTATGAGTCAGGCTTGAGTCGATGGCAGTGAGTTTTGGAATGTTATATCAACTACACGTTTGTGAAAGGCCACCTCATGTGTGTCAATATATCTACAAACAAAACCTCTACACAAGCTCACTTTTTGAATTTTCTAATGTGCTCCAGTCAGAACTGGACTTATTATTCAGTTACAATAACTCTCTTTCAGTCAACATAGGCTTAAGGATTATCCACTAGACTTACCTAACTTTCCTTAGACTGGACAATGGAGTGTGATGTTTCCTCCCAACTTTCTCTTGCCATGATCTCTCACAAGATTGACCTCTGATAAAATCCTCTTATGTTTAATCCCATCCTCTTGCTTGTTTCTTGCAAGACGCAGTGTAACATAATATCTGATATACATTTTACATTTGAAGGGAAATGAAATTCTGTGCTGCTCATGTTTGACCCTTTCTTTATGCTTCTTGTTTCTCAATAGGTAGTTAGTAAAAATATTTTTTTTATTACTAATACCCATTAGAATAGGTTTTTTGTTCCTTTTTCAAAGAGGGAAAGATAAAGTGAAGCAAGGTTGTGTCATCTGCATATTTTAAATTGTTAATAAGTCTTCTTCCAATCCTGATGCCACATTCTTCTTCATTCAATCCAACTTCTCTAAGGGTTTGCTCAACGCACATATTGAATGAGTATGGTGAGAAGATATAACCCTGACACACACCTTTCCTGATTTTCAACCATGAGATATGCCCTTTTTTTGTTCACACAACTTCCTCTTGATTCACGTACAAGTTTTGCATTATCAAAATGAAGTGTCTGGAATTCCCATTCTTCTCAAGGCTAACCATAGTTTGTTATGATCCACATAGTCAAATACCTTGGCATAGTCAATAAGAGAAAAGTAATCATATTTCTGGTATTTTCTGTTTTGAGTCAAGATCCATCTGACATACGTAATGATATCCCTTGTTCCACATACTCATCTGAAACTTGCCTGAACCCATGGCAGCTCCTGTCAATGTACTGTTAACAACCATTGTTGGGGGACCTTTAATAAAAT